CTTTGAAATTGGGCCCTAGCATCAGGAAGGGTAAGTTTGGCACTTTCTGCTTGACTGAATGGCCCACCTTTGGAGTAGGTTGGCCAACCCAGGAGTCCCTTTCCCTGGACACCATCGGCAAGGTCAAGGCTGTCATTACCTGGCCTGACCCAGAGGGCCACCTGGATCAACTCCCCTATATCCTTTTGTGGGAGAATCTGGCAGAGGATCCCCAGTCCTGGTTAAGGCCCTTCTTGGTGAGAAAGCCTCATGCTTGCCCACCAAAAGTCTCCATCATGGTCACCCAGGAAGGTTTGAAGTCCTCCAGTCACAGAGGCGGGGATCCTAGTGCTCCACCAGTTCTCCCCAAGAGCTCCTCCCTCTACCCCCCTTTGCCTGTTGAACAGCCACCACCTTATGCAGCTCCACGAGGAGAAGCCAAGGCGGCCTATGGAGGGGGGCGTGGAGCCGGGGGTCCCCATGGGAATCCAGTGGTTGCCCCCTCCCAAGACTCCTCTACAGGAGAGGATAGACAACTTGGGGAGGCAGGAGGGATGCAGTTAATGTCTCGAGGAAACAGGGACTGAGTGGGGGAAACTCCATCCTCCACCACAGGAGGAGCCGTGCCAGTTCTGCCAGTCCAAACGGTCAGCAGCCCAGATGGAGTTCAGCAGTATCAATACTGGCCATTTTCCTCTAACGATCTCTACAATTGGAGGACCCACAATCCTCCCTTTTCCCAGACGATCTGGGGAGGTGGGAGGGATACAGTTAAGGTCTCGAGGAAACAGGGACCGAGTGGGGGAAGCTCCATCCTCCACCACAGGAGGAGCTGTGCCAGTTCTGCCAGTCCGAATGGTCGGCGGCCCAGATGGAGTTCAGCAGTATTAATACTGGCCCTTTTCCTCTAGCGATCTCTACAATTGGAGGACCCAAAATCCTCCCTTTTCTGAAGACCCTAAGTGTCTAATAGGTTTGGTAGAATCCATTATGTACACCCATTGTCCCACGTGGGATGACTGCCAGCAGCTACTTCGCACCCTCTTCACAACAGAAGAGCGAGAACGCATCCTGAATGAAGCCAGGAAGAATGTCCTGGGAGAAAATGGGAGGCCCACTACCCTTCAGCCTGCCATCAATGAAGCGTTCCCCCTCACCCACCCAAATTGGGATTTTGGGACAGCAGGTGGGGAGCGGCTCCGAGTCTACTGTCAGATGCTTATGATCTGTCTCCAGGGGGCTGCAAGATGGCCCACTAACCTGGCTAAGGTGAAAACAATTGTTCAGGGAGAAACCGAAAGCCCAGCCGTGTATCTGGAAAGGCTATTTGATGCCTATAGGCAATACACCCCTATAAACCCAGAGGCAGAGGAACACAGGTCAGCTGTAGTCCTCTCTTTTATTAACCAGGCAGCCTCTGATATCAGGAGAAAACTCCATAAGCGGGACTATCTGGGAGAGATTATTAGAGAGATGCTGCAACAAGCAGAGAAGGTCTTTAATGCTAGGGAGTCTCCGGAGGACAGGGAGGAGAGGCTAAGAAAGGAGGAATGGGAGATGCAGGATAAAAACAGGAAAGAGGACAGAGAATTTCAAAGAAAAGAGAACAAGAAGCAGAGGGAGGAGATGGCCAGAATATTCCTGGCCGGAGTGAAAGGGAGCCCTGAGCCACTTCAGAGAGCAGGACCCTGGCAATCTAAACTAGGGTGGGAACAGTGTGCCCTGTGCAAAAGATATGGGCATTGGAAGAGAGAGTGCCCACAAAGAAGAGGAAGACAAGGAGGAGGGAACCCTATTAGGACCCTCCACCTGGGAGAAGGAAACTGACGAGTCTTGGGTAACTCTGTGCATGGAGGGGACTCCCACTGCTTCATGGTAGATACTGGGGCACAGTATTCAGTTCTCAATAAAGCTCATGGTCCTCTAAAGCCAGGACGCACAAGCATAGTCCAAGGAGCTACAGGAACTAAGAGGTGCGCCTGGACCACCAACAGGAAAGTGGACTTGGGAAGGCATCAGGTTTCCCACTCCTTCCTAGTTGTACCGGAGAGTCCCGCACCTTTGCTAGGTAGAGACTTACTCACCAAAATCGGGGCACAGGAGTTCCCTTCCGCCTGGGCCGAAACCGGGGAAGTCGGCCTTGCTAACCACCTGCCCCCGGTCGTGGTCCAACTCAAAGCCACGGCTTTGCCCATTCGGGTCTGGCAGTACCCGATGCCAGAAGAGGCTAGGAAGGGAATAGCGCCTCACATCCATAGACTGCTAGAAGTAAAAATCCTTAAACCCTGCCAGTCAGCATGGAATAGACCCCTGCTTCCTGTGAGAAAGCCTGGCAGTGGAGATTACAGACCGGTGCAGGATTTGCGAAGGGTTAATGAAAGAGTAGAGGACATTCACCCCATGGTACCCAATCCATACACCCTACTTAGCCACCTGCCACCGTCGCATGTGTGGTATACCACCCTAGACTTGAAGGATGCCTTCTTCAGTGTCCCTCTCGCTGAAGTCAGTCAGCCCTTGTTTGCCTTTGAGTGGCAAGAACCAGGAGGGGGAAAGACAGGGCAGCTCACCTGGACCAGACTGCCACAAGGCTTTAAGAACTCTCCCACCTTGTTCAATGAGGCACTAAGCCAAGATCTGGAGCCCTTCCGCAAAAGGCACCCCCATGTGACTCTGCTGCAGTATGTGGATGACTTGTTGCTGGCTACATCAACTCATGAGGAATGCATGGAAGCTACAAGGAACCTGTTGGCCAAACTGTGCAGCCTGGGATATCAGGCCAGTGCCAAAAAGGTGCACATCTGCCAGAGTTCAGTGGTTTACTTGGGGTACAAGATAGTGGAAGGGGCAAGATAGCTGACACAAGCCATAAAACAGACTATCCTGACCATTCCTGTGCCCTCCTCTCCCCAGGGCGTGAGGGAATTCCTCGGCTCAGCTGTGTTTTGCAGACTCTGGATCCCAGGGTATGCAGAGATAGCCCGTCCACTGTATGAAGCCACCAAAGAAGGACCGGGTTGGAGGTGGAGTCAGGAACAACAAACAACAAGAAGCATTTGACAGACTAAAAGAAGCTCTTCTCCAGGCCCCCGCCCTGTCTCTGCCAGACCCAGAAAAGCCCTTCATTCTGTTCATAGATGAAAAGGAGGGAGTGGCCAAAGGAGTCCTGGCCCAGCAACTAGCCCGTGGAAGAGACCTGTGGCTTACTTGTCCAAGCAGGTGGACCCAGTGGTCTCGGGATGGCCGTCTTGCCTGTGCATCTTGGCAGCCATCGCCCTACTGGTAAAGGAAGCTGACAAGCTGACCTTTGGCCAGGACTTGAGAGTGACAGCACCGCATACTGTGGAGGGAATTCTCAGGCACCCTCCAGGGAAATGGATGACAAATGCCAGGCTCACCCACTACTAAGGGCTCCTGCTGGACTCTCCTCGAATCACCTTCTCGGCCCCAGTGACCCTGAATCCTGCCACTCTCCTGCCAAACCCAGACCTGTCAACCCCCATCCATGACTGTGGAGACGTTCTCTCTGAAATCATCCGGGTACGGGCAGATCTGAGACACGCGGCTGCCAGATAGTGAATTAGACTGGCATACAGATGGAAGCATCTTCGTGCGGGATGGGGTTAGAAGAGCCTGAGCAGTGGTAGTGATGCATGAGGGGAAAGTCATTTGGAGTGCAGCCCTGCCCCCTGGCACCTCAGCCCAGAAGGTGGAATTTATTGCTCTCGCAGAGGCACTGGAGAGAGCAGAAGGCAGGCGAGCTAACATTTATACCGATAGCAGGTATGCTTTTGGCATTGTGCATGTTCATGGCGCCATCTACCGGGAAAGAGGATTCCGGTCCGCAGAAGGAAAGGAGCTGAAGAACTTGCAGGAAGTTCAAAGACTGTTAGCAGCTGTGGAAAGGCCTAGGGCGGTGGCAGTTATACATGTGCCTGGGCACCAGTCCAGAAAGACTCCTGAGGCTATTGGTAACAACTTTGCTGATGCAGAGGCCAGGAGGGTAGCTCTCTTAGACCCCATTGTGCTGGCAGCTCTAGAGGTACCCATACCTGAACTACCCACCCTACCTCCCAGACCTGATTATTCCCCACAGGACCTTGAGTGGGAGAAAAGCCTGTGGAGGGAGGTTGGAGTAGGGACTGGGAAGGTAGACTGATCTTACCAGAAGTACTAGGAAAATACATGCTCACCAACCTACACAGATCCACCCATCTAGGCTGGAAGAAGTTGCTCAGTCTTTTTCAGCACGCACAGTTGGTATTTCCACACCAGAATGAGGCCGCACGTCAGATCACGGGGGGATGCGAGAGCTGTGCAAAGATAAGACCAGCCCCAAAGGGTCTCCACCCGACAGGTATCCAGGAGAGGGGGAGGGCCCCAGGAAGAAGTTGGGAGATAGACTTCACCGAGGTAAAGCCAGGAAAGTATGGGCACAAGTATTTGCTGGTCATGGTGGATACTTTTTCAGGATGGGTGGAGGCTTTTCCAACTAAACATGAAACTAGCCAGATGGTGGCAAAGAAATTAATAGAGGAGATAGTCCCCAGATATGGGATCCCTGAGGCTATAGGTTCCGATAACGGCCCGGCTTTCGTTAGTAAAGTCCTACAGGGACTAGCCCAGGCTTTGGGGATGGATTGGAAGTTACATTGTGCCTATAACCCACAAAGCTCTGGGCAGGTAGAAAGAATGAATCGGACATTAAAGGAGACCCTTTCTAAATTAGTAATTGAGACTGACGGTGACTGGGTGGCCCTCCTTCCCTTGGCCATTTTCCAGGTTCGAAACTCCCCCATGTGCATGGTCTCCCTTTGAAATAATGTATGGGGCCCCTCCGCCAATAACCCGGCGAGCACAGCCCCCGGGGGAAGAGAAGTCAGCCCCCGACTATTTAAATGTGTTGCAATCCCTTGCCAAAGTACAGCAGGAAATTTGGCCCCTAATCAAAGCATACTATGAAGGGGAAAGAACCCTGATTGTGGAGCATGGCATAGTCCCAGGGGATATGGTCTGGGTAAAAAGACACAAAGTAAAAACTCTTGAACCCAGATGGAAGGGACCTTATGTTGTACTGTTTACCACCCCCACTGCCCTTAAGGTTGACGGCATTGCTCCCTGGGTCCACCACACCCACGTTCAGAAGGCCTTGCCCCTCGAGGACCCGGAATCCTGTGTGAAGGAGAGGGAGGTGCGGCCAAATCCTGCTAATCCTTTAAAGCTACAGCTGAGCCAGACATGAAAGGATTCCTGCTGATAAGCTCACTGTTATGGGCCCTCCAGAGAACAGTAGTGTCAGCAGGAGCTCGGAACATCAACCCCCACCAACCAGTACTCCAGACATGGATCCTGCGCAGCAGCGATGCCTATGAAGAATGGAACCGCACCTCCCATACAGCCCCGTTGTGGACATGGTGGCCAGATCTGTATGTTGACTTAGAACTTGTACTGGGGCAATTTTATTACCTCCCCCAGAAAAACCACCAGGAACAATATCATATGAAAAAACGGGCTTTGGTTGACTCACCATCCACAGTCAACCGCCAAGCTTTGCGGGCAAACGGCCTATGAGGAATGGAACCGCACCTCTCATATGGCCCCGTTGTGGACATGGTGGCCAGATCTGTATGTTGACTTAGAACTTGTACTGGGGCAATTTTATTACCTCCCCCAGAAAAACCACCAGGAACAATATCATATGAAAAAACGGGCTTTGGTTGACTCATCATCCACAGTCAACCGCCAAGCTTTGAGGGCAAATGGGTTCTTTGCTTGCCCAGGTTTTTGGACAGGTTGGTGGAGGTGCAATTGTGGGGTTGCTGATAGACTCTACTGTGCTGAATGGAATTGTGTGGAAGTTAATGATGGGCAGTGGAGATGGGAGGTTTCCCCTGAGCTGATTGATATGAGGTTTACTTCCCCAAACAACCAATGGACAGTATCTCCACTGGCCAACCAGGTTAAAATCACTTTTACCTCAAAGGGAAAAAACGATAAAAGGTGGATAGGTGGGCTGACATGGGGCCTGATGCCCTACCAGACGCCATGGAGGGGGGGTCCTGTTCCAGATCTACCTCCAGGTCGAGGCAGTGGTTAGGTCACTGGTAGGACCTAACCCGGTGTTAAATACCCCTTGTCTGAGGCCCCGACCTCCCCAGCCTGGGTCTCCTAGGCCCACTTTCAAGCCATCAGGCACCACAACGACATCAGCAGCCCCAGCCATGGAAAGGCCGGGGACAGCTGCGAAACCACAGACTTCCAGCAATCCTATGTGGGAGATGGTGCTAGCTGTGGTAGAAACCCTTAATCATACCACTCCCTCCCTCACTGACCCATGTTGGCTGTGCTACCCAGTATCCCCACCCTTTTATGAGGCTGTTAGGATAAATAGTTCCTATACTCTCAACAACTCTCATCCCACCTATTGGGACGGGAGACCATGGGGACTTACTCTTGCTCAGGTCTCGGCCTCTGGCACGTGTGTAGGCACAGTCCCAACATCCCAAAGCCAGTTATGCTCCTCATGCAATAACACCCCATAGGAGCAGGGAAAGTGGATTATACCCACCTCGGGCTGGTGGCTCTGTTCAAAAACGGGCCTCACCCCAGCCCTATCCACCTCTGTATTTAATGCTAATAATGAATTTTGTGCACTTGTGGCCATTCTGCCCAGTCTTTCATACCACTCTCATGAATCCCTCCTCTCCTATTGGGAAAAACAGAGTCCACTCTGAAAGAAGAGGGAACCCATTACTGCCTTAACCATTGGAACTCTCTTCTCCGTTGGGATAGCTGGAGCAGGGACAGGAATCGCAGCCCTAGTAATGCGAGAGCAAGGGCTCACGGCATTAAGGCTAGCAATTGACAGGGACTTGGAACAGCTCCGGCAAATGATGTCGGACCTGGAGCAATCTCTCACTTCCTTATCAGAGGTGGTGCTACAAAACAGAAGGGGCTTGGATCTCCTATTTTTAAAGGAGGGCGGGCTATGCACAGCTTTCAAAGAAGAATGCTTTTTCTATGTAGACAAGACAGGGGCAGTCAGGGAATCTTTGACCAAGTTAAAAAAAGACCTGGAGAGGAGGCACAAGGAGTATGAAAGTAATGAAAGCTGGTTCTAGTCTTGGTTTATGCATAGACCAT